AACTGTGCCGCTCAACTGGTTCGTTGGCAAAATGCTGAATAGGCCACGCCTCCAACTGTTCCGTGCGTTCGGGCAAACCGTTAGGAATTCCTAAATGGAGTCAATTTGTGTAGTTTTCTTGATTTATTCTGCAGATATCGGTAAAATGTAGGTAAGGCTTTGGCGAAATTAGATTGTAGATTGGTTGGGTCATCTATTTTATAATTAAAAAAGTAAGTGTTTTGTACCCGTGACAAAGTGGGTAAAATGTGCATTGCATGAGAATAATGATATATGTTTATTATGGGTATATATGTATACACGAAAAGCTAGGGCGCCAGCAGCAGTACTAGTTTGACTGTTATTGAAATCGACAATTATGACTAGGAGTTGTGGTTCTGGTTAAACAATATAGATTGACGACACGTTGAAAGTTGGTGTTAGATAATGTCAAAGAATTGTGTTAACTGATGATTATTGGTCTGGTAGAACATGAAACCATGGATAGATGGTTGAATGCTGAAAGCATCAAGAAATTAAAGTGTCTGACGTGGAGACAACTTGAGAAGTTTGCTGCATGTTACTTGGTAACAGTGCAAGCATCGTCGAGCTTAATGTACACAGATAACCAGAATGTGGCTAGAATAAGGCAGGATGGCAGTAAGGTACCTGAGCTACATTGAGTATTGCAAGTTGCTTATGAACGTCCGGGGTCGCCTCTAGTCCAACAGTGAGTACCGGGAGTGAAGAATGAGAAAACAAATATACTCAGCTAAACTAACTATAGTGATGAATTGAGCTTCAATGTAATATAACTAATATACTGGATTCCAAGTTTAATCCTTATTTATGAGCAATTAAATCGAGTTACAGAAGGTAGCGTTGGGTATATTGCTGGTGCTTGTGAATATCTGTGGTAGTCCCAGAGTGGGTGCCAAGAAAACAGAATAAGAAAGAGGACATGTACTAAAATTGTTTATAATGATGGATGGAACATCAATGGTAGTATAATTAATGTAATGGATAACATGTGTGGTCCCTATTCGATTGATAGATTTGATCCTAACATGTAGGTCTCGCATTCTGTAACATTCGGGTCAATGTCGAAAATTGTCTTCGGATTAAGATGGCTGTGTGCCAAGCTCTTCAATCCGGGGTGTTTTTTCTCAAGATTCTGATTGAAAACGGATTTGAACATATCATCTATCTTCTATGATCATCTGGGAATGATATTTATCATATCAGTCTCTTCAAAGAGTGCATATTTTGCCGTATTGTCACGGTAGTGGGAAAACCACTGTGGTTCAATTTTGATTCACATCTTTCACTGCACAGTTGCTAGTTCTTTTTCCATTCGTAGTTATGCAATCCAGTACATTTGCTATACGCAGGGTGAGATTGAAACAACAAAACGGCTCTGTACTTTCCCGCCAATAGGCCCACAAAAAACCGAGGCGGGGGCAATAGTGCTATAGTGGTGTGTCATACTAGAACCCACACAGATGAACTATTGATTGTTTATTCACAAATTCAATAACACTAATATTCAAGAACAACTAAACATCACATGC